CTCAAATCTTTCACCGAATATCTTTACTCAAATTATTTAGTCGCCTCTTTTGGTATTTGGACCACCGTCGTGAAGACGTTTAATAACCTTCTTTTAACAAGAATAATTAACTCTTCACCAAACTCCTTTCTCTTCAAACATTAACGCGATAGTGTCAGTAGAGATTCTCCACCATGCTGCCTGTGACTGACTTTGGATGTGCTGACTCGCACTCTTAGTATTGCAACCTTTATACTCTTCTTGAAGATGTTTGCACAATAATATTGTAATGTCCTATGCATTTCACGGTCAAGTGCATATCATCTTTATTGTCTTTATGACTCAGTCGAATCGATGAAATAAATTCTTACAAATCCCCATCTACCGCGCCATCGTGTATACATTAAGATTTTGTATGCAGTTATATGCACTATTTTTTTACGTAACGTTCTCCCAACTTATTTTAGGATACTAACAAAGATTTAAAGCCATTTAAATGTTTTCAAAGTGTAATAACAACCTGAATAGTTATGAACAAACCTTTTACACACACACACACACACACACACACACACACACACACACACACACACACACACACACACACACACACACACATATTTTCAGCCTTTTGGCTGACATACCCTCGTAAGCATTTGCTCATATATACATATATATATACACTAAGTAAAATTTATATTACAATAGTAAGTACAAACCGGTATTTCATTTGACAATACTGAGCTCATGATCTTCAATACTGTCATCTACATTCCGGTTTCTTTATACGACTCGAGGAAACTTCACCATCTACATTATGTCTGTAATATTCTAACCTAGTAACCTGTCCCAGAAGTGTAGTCATCAATATTTTCTTAACGTTATTAATGTATATTTATATTTCTGTGCGTTTTATTTGTGTAAATGAATAGCATTAGATCGTTCTTTAAACTGTCTTTGAAAGAATAGACCACAATGTTTCACAACCTTTGACGTATTATTTCTTGTCTAGAAAAATGAATGTTAAATATGAAATTTAATATTACAGTATTTTTTGTTATAATCACCTTTGAAAGTAATATTTTCAGGTATATCTGGTATACAGTATACCACACATTTCATTTATCAGAGCACTAAGTACTCCCCTTCTATAAGCATTTGTATTAATAATATTTCAAAACTTCAGAACACTTCAGAATATTTAGATCAAGCCGTTTACCCATTCATGATTTCCACGATATTCTTATGAAAATTTGATTCATCTATTAAAGATTTGTTTTCGTGTCTGTGAATACTCACACCGTATGTCTACCTTTTTCATCACTCAGAAAATATGATTCGGTGTACCAGGTTGACAAACAGGTCTGTAAAAATGAGTTTTATAGTACTTTTGTTTTATTTATGAACTTTTCCTTTTGAGTAATCATAAATGTAATCGCGTTACGCATCATGAAATCGTAATCATAATCACGATTACATCCACCTTTACCATAATCATAATCGCATCCTTAAAATTATAGCAATCGTACGTGTAATCAATTACATTACCGATCTTAATCACTAGAGGTATGGTAAGACCTCCAACAAATCTGTATAGCAATTACAAATCTTGGTTAAGTTTAATTATCGAACTATAGAAGTTTGTAAGAATTATTATCCAAATTCTCCAGAGTGTAACATGCATATGTAATTTCCATCCTCGATGTTATATCAGTGCTATTTGATGCACACACATTCACTGTAACTAGAGATGCAAAATTAAAGACGTAAAAACCTAATGGCCAGTGTGGAGTCGATACCCGTGTGTTTATTGGGTGTAATGTTTCCTTCTTATTATCCATAGGTAAGATAAGTTAACGCTAATCTTTTATAGTTTTCCTAAGTAAAGTTTTTTATATCTACGGATAATGATTAATATTCTTTTCATATATAAGTTTTCTATGAATCTTTTCGAAATATTTCTTAACTTAAATAAAAAAAATAAATATGCTAATTAAAGCCTAACATCATATACTTCAAATAAATCTTACAACACCTTTTCTATAGAATAGTAGAAAATATTAAATATTTTACAATACGATAATGTCCATTCATACATCTCCTTTATAGATAATAACCTGGATGATAATAAAATATCATCTAATAATAATGAGTTAAACGTCAAATCTTATCATTGCCATATATAAGTCCCTGAAATACATTTACCTGCCTAAATTATTTACGTATGTGTTCATGTGTATTAATAAAATATCGATATTTTAACAGATAGTTAGTGGGCTAACAATAAACATATCATACTAATGTCTTCCTGGATAACATTAACATAATGCTCTGTTGCATTAATTATATTTTAGTCTTGTAAAGGCCTCCAATCGCCTCAACGCAGAGCCTGAACCAAACGCCTTGAAGTCCGTTTCTTTTTAAATAAATTTATTAGAAGCAGCAATTGAACAGTGAATAGACACTGCCACAATGTACGATTTAACATGAATGGAGCCCAGTAATCAATGTCTTTTGCCCGCTGAAACGCACCATATCTTTCAAGTCTCCCTAGTATTGCCTTTAATCCAAAATTCCCTAAATACAGACTCATTGGCCTCATTAGTCATACTTCTCACATAAAACTTACAGATCAAATGGACGTATGTGTTTAACAGGTATGTCGCTGGAATTATATCTTGTAAAACTATTATTGGATTTACTTTCTTCAATTTTAAGCTCCATAGAGAGGAAAGTAAACATTCATAGTCTGTGCCATGGGAATATCTTAAAAATATATATTCCGTTACTTGTAATACCATAAGTCAATTATGCACTCAGTATATTTGAAGAATAGTGAAAAGAATATAAATATAAATGGCATCGTTCCGGTTAACGGTTTATACACTCAGTATATTAAAGGTGATGGATCAATATAAAATAAAGGGCATTATTTCGGTTAACAGTTTACTTCTCAACATAATCGTAAACACGTTTATAGAAAAAAATAATACAAACTTTTGTAACAAGAAACAGTAAATTACATAGATTATAATGTGCAGTAAAGTAACAACATCATATTAGTTTAATGTAATAGAATGATATTTGAAGAGATGATGTGTTGCGTCGTGGCTGATACATGTAGATGACAATACGATGAAGGACGATGTCACACTGTTTAATACCAGGGGTAGGAAGTTAGAAAGAGTACGTCGGTGAATAGCCTCCGCCGCCTCCGCCAGAGGATCACGGTAGCCTCCACTACCTCCGCTACCTCCACCACCAGAAAGATGCACTGTAACCACCACCACCTCCTACAAGATCCCACAGTAGCCTCCCGCCGCCTCCGCTACCTCCACCACTGAAGAATCACCATGTCCTCCACCGCCTCCCACTGCCTCCCACCGCCAGAAAGATCACCCAGCAACCTCCGCCGCCTCCACCACCAGAGAGAGATCACCATAGCCTCACCGCCTCACTGCCTCCCTTGAAGATCCCCACCATATCCTCCGCCACCTCCCTACCAGAGATCCACCGCCAACCTCCACCACTTCCGCTACCTCCACCACCGAAGATCCACCGTATCCTCCGCCGCCTCCCACCACCAGAGATCACCGTAACCTCCACCACTTCCCGCTGCCTCCACCACCAGAAGGGATCACCATGTCCTCCGCCGCCTCCCACCACCAGAGGATCACCGTATCCTCCGCCGCCTCCCCACCACCAGAGGATCACCGTAGCCTCCGCCGCTTCCACGCCGCTTGAAGATCCACCATATCCTC